ATTTATATACAGAAATATGTTGGTATTTTGACACAAAATTTGAAATACAGCTGTGTGATTTTGATATACGACTGAATACATGATAATATCAGTATAAAACAGGTAATAATGTATAAAAATTGAGATATAGCCCTTTTCTATCCTAAAGAAACACTTTAATCTTGTAATGGTGGTGCACGTCTGTTATCCACCAGCAAATCCTTGAGGTTGAAGCAAAAGGACTGAAATTTTGACTACAGTCTGAGCAAATTAGCAACTTAGTAAGATACTGCATCAAAGTAGATTAGATGGATAGATGATAGAGATTGATAGATAGATGGATAGATAGAGAGAGAGAGATAGACAGATAAATAGATAGATGATAGAAAGAAGGGCTGGAGATATACCTTAGTACAAAGTACCAAAAAAAGAAAACAAAGAAACACTTAATTGTGGAACCTCTTTTAGATGATCTTGAATGTGTTAATTGTAATGTAACATAAAGTAGTACATTTATTTTTGACAGTGGAAGATCATTATTTTTCATAATAGGAAAGTTTTTATTAATGCTGTATCTTTTGGTCATCTCAGAAAAAAATAGCAGTCTATAAATCATGAAAAGAGACTTAACTTTCTCATACAACTGTAATACTCTACTCTTTCAAAACTTTGAGAACTTCTCTTAGGCTTTTGACTAAAGGTAAACTAAGCAGTCATTTCTGAAGCCATAAGCTGCTGTAGTCTTGAACAATAGCTGAAAGAGAAAGTATTGCTATCACTTTGTGCACAGAGCCTGTGAAACAATTAATACTTTATTGTGATTGATGAATAATCCTCAGTGGAAGCATTTCCTCCCTGCTTCAGAAGGCTTGCACAATCCTTTCATGGGTAACAATAGCTCAAATCATCTCTAAAGTGGATACATCTATCACTGAGACTTTCTCAGAGTGTAGGCAAATTGATATATTTTTATGTTTCTCTTATTAACAAATCTTTAAAGTACAAATTTTCAGTAGATGGTCTTTGTTTTCTAGGAACATTTCATAGAGGTTATAAAGAACCAAGAATTTCTCCAGCTTCCAGTTAATGAGATTTCCAAGCTTCTGTGCAGTGACGACATTAATGTGCCTGATGAAGAAACCATTTTCTATGCTTTAATGCAGTGGGTGGGCCATGATGTTCAGACTAGGCAAGGAAACCTGGCAATGCTGCTTTCATGCATCAGACTCCCATTACTTCCTCCACAGGTATGGAAATTCACCTTAGTAATATGTAATGTGAACCAGAGCTCTAAACTACCTCTAGGCACCAATCAATTATTTAGTTCCCTGCTTTTTATTTTTGTTATTTTATTTCTGTTTTTATTAGTATATGTTTGCAGTACATAATGATGACACATCGTGAACTGTTGAGACATGTACAGACATAATATGACATGACATGTGTATAACACATCTTAATTCTTTCTTATCTTTTCTCTTCCACCCCTGCCTCCTTCCTTCATCTCATGGTCCCCTCCCCTTTTGCAAAATCTATCTTCCTGCTACCTATTACCTTTAATTTTTCTATTTTCACTTTTGGTTTCTCATTAATAAAAGAAACCCTGATGTATTTAACCTTATGTGTTTGATTAATTTTACTTACTATTATGGTTTTGAGTTGTATCTGTTTTCATAGAGATGACTTCAGTTTATCTTTCTTTTTTGTATACTGATACTCCAGTGCTTGTAAATACTGCATTTTCTTTATCCATTCATCTGATGATGAACATTTAGACCACTTGCATGATTTAGCTATCATCAGTTGTGTTGCTATAAACCTGGATGTGCATCTTTGTAATATGATTCCTTTAATTGTTCTGGGAAAATATGTGCAGGATGACATTTGTGTTGAACGGAATTTTTATGTTTAGTTCTTTGAGTAATCAGACCTCCATATTGATTTCCATAATAACTACTCCCCATTTCATTCATTTGTACTTTGGGTTTGTCACACAAGAGAAGCAGTGCAATATTTAAACTTCTGTGTCTGATTTATTTCATATTAGATCATATGCTTGAGATAAATGCATTTTTATAATATAAACTTTGTTTTTTTATTAATTTGAGATAAATTGGTACACTGAAAAATGTCTCTTTTGTCATTTTGTGGCCCAATTGTAATCCTTTATCTAGAAATACTTCATTTTCTTTATCTGTTCAACTGTCGATGGGCATAAGGGATAATTCCAAGATTTAACTATTAAAAGTTGTGCTGCCATAAAACACGTATATATCATTATGGCATAATGATTTCAACTCTTTGCAGAAGATACCAAAAGAGAGAATAGCTAGGAAGCTCTAGTCATAGTCTTATGGGCATTCCATTTCCATAGTGTTTACACCAATTTTTCACCCCATCAACAATGGAGAAGTGTTCCTATTACTTTTCAGCCTTATCAGAATTTGTTATGGTTCATATTTTGGCAATGGTCATTCTTTCTGGACTGAGGTGGAATATCAGTAATATGTTAATTTTTATTTCTCAAATGGCCAGTATGTTGAACATTTTTTATGTGCTTATTGCCAAAATGTCTAATAATTTGAGACACTCATTTCTTGGATACTTATTTAGATTTCATGCACAATTATCTTTTAGTCATAGATATATTCTAGATCTGTCTTGTTTTTGAGGTGTATAAGGCAATATTTTTCATTTTCAGTAGGTTGTTTATTTACTTTATTGGTTGTGTCCTTTGTTGCACAGATTTTTTAATACGATAATACTATTTGCTGGTTTTTGAAGTATTTCTTGTCCAGTTAGGTTTCTCCTCATAGAATTCTTGCCTATGCCTGTGTCTTCAATAGTTTGACTTATTTTATCTTCCAGTAGATTAAGTATTTCTGTTTTAATACTTAGTATTTTATATATTTTGATTTTTGTTTATGAGATAGAAAGAGATATGGGTCTAGATACAGTCTTCCGCACATGTATATTGAGTTTTAGAAGTGTTATTTTCTGAACAGTCTATCATATATGCAATGTATGCTTCTGGCCCGTTTTTCAAAGACCAGAGACCTGAAGGTGTCTGAGTGTCTTTCTGCACACCTTATTCTTTTCCATTGTTCCACATAACTGCTTTTGTGACAGTTCCATATTTTTTTCAGTGTATCTTTGTCATATAACTTGAATTGTAGCATTATGAGATCTCCTACTTTGCTGTGATTATCCAGTTTTGATTTTGCTACCCATGCTATGATTCCATTTTCTTTAGTTCTTGCCCTACACTCTAATTAAGCAAAGAGATGGGAATGACTCACTGCTAAAGGTCTCCAAAAGGGAAAAAGTGACGTAATCTTAGGTGCAGAAGGAGCAACTCAGAAAACAAAACAAAACAAAAAACAATGTGAATGAGAAGTTTATTCATAATATGGCAGAGGAAATCACTGCCGAACAGTGGAATATATGGTGTAGTGAAGTTTGGGATATGAGCCTTTCAGCATGTCTACCTTGGTCAAATTTACTGGGGTAAGCTGATTTTCTAAAAGTAACTTTTTCACTGATTAATATAGTCAGTATTTTAGCCTTGTTTCTCTGTTGAGACAAAGTTGACAGGATCTATAGGAATGAGGTAAAAGTATGAAAATGCCTCACAAAGAGCAGCTTTTTCCAGTACCTCAGGTCATAAGTAAGCAAGCATGTGATTATCTCTATTAAAGTAGTCACCTGGGTCATGTCCTGCATGGTCTATTCCTCCCTAACTTTCCTTACAATATGATCTCAGTAGTTGGTTGACAATAGTTAGCTTTTATCATATTGAGAAGTTTCTTCTATACTTATTTTCCTCAGTGTTTTCTGTTAGTACTTTTTTTGAGGGTTTTGCCTCTATGCTTATTAAAGAAAATGGATATGATTCTCCATTTCAGTTATGTCCTTGCCTTCCAGAAAGACTTTTGGAGTGTTTCACTTTTTATTTTGTTAAAGATTTTTAGAGGGGCTTGGGAGTGGCATAAGCACCTGCCTGGCAAGTGCAAGATCATGAGTTCAATTTCTAGCACAAAAAAAAAAAGAAAGAAAAAGAAAGATTTTTAGTAGTATTGGCCTTAGATTTTTTTTTCCTAAATTTCATGTAGAAATTAATGGTAAAGATATTGGTTTCTTGTGTGTGTTTTATTTAGTTGTTTAGGCCTTTTTAATTACTGCTTTACTTCTATTGACTCTTATTGGATTTTTTCATTTATTTTCCTCGCTCATACTGTAAGCAGGCTACCACTGCTTGCGGAGGGCAATCCTTTACATCCACATCATATTCATGCTGTGCTCTTGCAAAGGCTGAGGGTGTTTACAAAGTAAGGACCCTGGCCCACAATAAATCATTTACTTAAACTTTGAAATTTCTCAGATTGATACAATGAGCAATATTCTAGAACAGTAAGGCTATGTCTTCTATACCTCAAAATGGAGACCTGCTGAGGTACTTAGTTATGTTACCCTTCTTTTCGTTATATTTCTGATGTTAATGTTGTTTGTTGTTTGTTTTTGGTGATAGCAGGGATTGAATTCAGGACCTTACACTTGCCAGGAAAGCACTTACTCCACTGAGTTATCTCCTGGGCCTCCAAGCTAGGTTTCTAGACTTCTCAAGTTGACACAATATATCAATTACACCTACATAAATTACATATTGGAAAGAGGGAAATTCTTTCAAGTTAGTGAGTAAAGAGTTTCACAAATTATGTTAAAGTTAATCCATTTCTTAAAAATAATCTTATTGTATAAAATAGAGTAATAGTGAAAAATAAAATTTTTGATAGTTTCTTCATATATATCATATTTTATAGAATATATAGTACATTAATAACAAATATATATTTATGTAAATCCCATAAGACTGCATAATTGCTCTTAATAATCTATCTATATATCACCCTTCAACCTATGATCAAATAACATTCATTGATATCTTGTGTATAAAAATTTTTCCATATGTAAGACAATAATAACAAAAAAATGACATTAAAACAGCATATATTATTTAGAAACCTAAAGTTGTAAATTTAGAATTGATATATGAGCTGTAGAATGTATAGAAATTGTGTTTGTGTGAACATGTATGTATACTTGTATTATTTTCCAGATGGTACCTAAATTAATGTGATTTCTAAGATTTTTAAAGATATCACCATTTAAAATGTTCCCAGATGAATACCATGAGCCTCAGTGTTTGTTAGAAGCATAATTTTTCAGGTCCCACCCAGTCTAACTGAAGAAACTTCTTCTGGACTGTTCTTGGAATATATGCTTTAACATGTTTACCACATGATTTTTCGACACACACAAATGCCACTGGATGTAGATTTGATCTGGAAATTCTGTTTACAAACATTAGTCTTCAATAAGATTATTTTTGAGAAATGGATGAACTTTAACCTAATTTGTGAAACTATTGACTCACTAACTTCAGAGAAGTTCCCTCTTTCCAATGCAGATAATATTTGTTAACTTAGCTACAGAGTTGATGAATATGAAATTTATGTAGGTGTAATAGTTGATACATTGGGTCAAACTGAGAAGTCTGGAAGCTTAACTAACTCAACAGATTAAGATGTACTGGTGTAAGATAGCATAAGCATTTAATTTTATTCTCTAATTCTGACACTTTTTTCAAAAGCAAAGGAATTAGTTTGAAGTTTTCTTACTTCATTAGGATGAAATGGAATTTCTAGATCAAATCTGCACCCAGCAGTACCTTGTCCTTTTACATTTACATATCCTGTATGCCTAGGATGTGAATTATGAGAACTTCTGTACATTATATGGGTGACATACTTCAACATCCAAGGACAGACTTTCCAAAACAAGTCTGTAAGTATTTCAGAAAAAATATTTTAGAAATGAACTATATGAAGATGATGAGATATATGAAAAACATTTTTACAAAAATTGCAAAGATTAATCTTCAAAGATATTTCCAAAAGCATACTCATTTGAAGAAATACCAGGAATCCACTCACGGAATTGAGGACAGATTACAGATTAGATTGAGATTAGCTAGAGATTACAGATGGCCTGAAGATAGAACTGAAGTTAACCAAAGCATAGTAGGAAATTTCAGAAAAGTTCTATGCGATGAGTTTAACACTTCTCCTCTAGTAAAAACTGTTTGTTGTTCATCTCAACATACTATAATATGGGACCCAAAATTCCAAGAAAGCCAATCTAACATAAATTTTGACAACATTATAAGGTATACTATAACTTCTCTCCAATTCATCTCAGGAAAAATACTTTGTCTGACATGTATTAATATCAATTTGGAGCTTATTGTCTGTCAGGTGGTGAGGCAGTGATAAGATTATTTTTCTTCCTGCTTTTTTTTTAAACCTGAGAATCAAATCTAGGGTGTTGCACTTGTCAGGCAGGCACAATACTGCTGAACTACATCATCAGCCCTGTCATCTAATTTTCCTTATATCTTGGCTCATTACTAATACATACATATTAACTCGTTTAAAATAAACTGACTTTTAGAATAGAGAAGTAATTCATGTTTCTGTGAATGATTTTTTTAACACATTAGGTTTGCATGATCACCAAAACATCATCCCAAAGACACACAAAAAAAAACCCAAACTTCTGCTGATTTCATTAGCTACGTCCAGTTGACCAGGAGTTGCTTACTTTGAAAAATTGCAGCCTTTATTTCAGTTACTTTCCCTTATAATTTTTTGAAGTATTAGTGATTGAATCCAGGGGCCTGTGCATACTAATCAACAACTCTACCATTGAGCCAGCCAAAATTATCTTGAAACTGGATATAACTAGTCTTAACACTTAATATTTTTGTATTATAGTATGAGGGATTAAATCTAGTTTCTTGCATTGAGGTGAAAACACCAGACCTTTTTAATTTTTTTTTCAGATAGGATCTCTGAGTGAAGCCTATTCTGGCCACAAACTTGTAATCATCTTGTCTTAAAATTCTTCTTCTTTTTTTTTTCTGCAGTACTTGAGATTGAACTCACGCCCTTGTGCTTGCCAGGCAGGCACTTATGTCACAGACCTATCTCCCCAGCCCTTGTTTGAAACTTCTGAGTGCTAAGATTATATGCATGTGATACCACAATATGCCTCAGTAGTACTTTGGTCACATCCTTTTAGAGGATAAATTTACATCTTCAAAATATGAACACTATCATAGAAGCCATTAACTACTACTATGAAGCATTTAGTTATTTTATGTAAGTGAAAAAAAATCTCAGTAACAAAATATTCAATGATATAAACTTACATTTGAATTAGATCCAGTTTCCTCCCAGATTATATACCTAAATTATGTTCTTTTCTAATGGTGAATTCATATATATATATATATATATATGAATATGACATTATTACTTTTCAGTTACTTGCAGATCTTGAAAATAGCTCCATGTTTACTGGTGAT